TTATAGGCATACACCACAACACCTAGCTAATTTTTTTTTTTTATTTTTAGTAGAGATGGGGTTTCACCATGTTGGTCAGGTTGGCCTTGAACTCCTGACCTCAGGTGATCCACCCACCTTGACCTCTCAAAGTGCTGGGATTACAGGCATGAGCCATGGTGCCTGGCCTGCTAAACACTTTTGAACCATCAGATTTCGTGAGAACTCACTATCACTAGAACAGCATCGGGGAAACTGCCCCCATGTTCCAGTCCACCTCTCACCAGGTCCCTCCCTTGACACATGGGAATTACAATTCTAGATGAGATTTGGGTGGGGACACAAAGCCAAACCATATCAAAGTTACAAAATGTCTAACTAAATTTTTAGTGAAAATAAAGGATTTTATTGGGCTTTTTTTTTTTTTTTTTTTGAGATGGAGTCTCACTCTGTTGCCTAGGCTGAGGTGCAGTGGCACGATCTCGGCTCATTGCAACCTCCATCTCCCAGGTTCAAGCGATTCTTCTGCCTCAACCTCCCAAGTAGCCCGTGCATTTTAATTGTGCATTTTAAAGGAACAAGCGCCGGGTGCGGTGGCTCATACCTGTAATCCCAGCACTTTGGGAGGCTGAGATGGGCAGATCACCTGAGGTCAGGAGTTTGAGACCAGCCTGGCCAACATGGTGAAACCTTTTCTCTACTAAAAATACAAAAATTAGCCAGGTATGGTGGTGTACACCTGTAATCCCAGCTACTTGGGAGGCTAAGGCAGGAGAATCGCTTGAACCCAGCATGCAGAGGTTGCAGTGAGCCAAGATTGCGCCACTGCACTCCAGCCTGGGTGGCAGAGTAAGACTCTTGTCTCAAAATAAAAAATAAATAAATAAAGGAAGGAAGGAAGGAAGAAGCTTCCAGAATGTGTTGGCTACAAATTAGAAACACAGTCCCACAAGATTATTAAAGTGATCTGAGCTTCTGATAAAAAAAATACAGAATTAAAAGCAATTGAAACTCTAAAAAGCAAACAAAAACCAGAAGCCTAGGGATTATCATTTTCCCTTTTCAAGAAAACTATTGAATGCATTTTTAAAGCTTTGTTTTAAATTCTTGCAGTGGAGTCATATTTAGAAGTAACTCCTGTGTTATCTATCCACAAGAATTCACATTTACCCCTCTTGTTCTTACATCAGTCAGGTATCAAAGAAACCTTTCTATATAGACTGCCCACAAGGTGGGGTAGTTATAATAGGAAAATGGAGAGAAAGAAATGACATTTCACAGTTTTTGAGTTTCTAGTAAATTCAGAGGAAAGGTTCTGACCTTTACCAGCCTACCTTTTTTTCAGGGTAATCTCTTCAGTTCTATATTTCTGTTCACTTTCAGCTGTGTTAAAATAGTCCTTTAACATATTCACTGAGGTATTTTTTTTGTTTTTAAAAACAGTTACACTTTCATTTCCTTTTTTTTTTTTGAGATGGAGTCTCACTCTGTCACCCAGGCTGCGGTGCAATGGAGCAATCTCGGCTCACTGCAACCTCCGCCTCCTGGGTTCACTGCAACCTCCGCCTCCTTGCCTCAGCCTCCCAAGTAGCTGGGATTACAGGTGCGCACCACCACACCCAGCTAATTTTTGTATTTTCAGTAGAGACGGGGTTTCACCATATTGGTCAGGCTGGTCTCAAACTCCTGACCTCATAATCTGCCCACCTCAGCCTCCCAAAATGTTGGGATTACAGGCATGAGCCACCACGCCTGGCCTACACTCTCATTTCTAAAAGTTTTGTTAGGTTCCGTGGCAAACCTGCCTAATAATTTTATAGTTTATTGTTGTTTTCTCTTTTTGTGACTTCATCTTTTATTTATTTTTTGATGGAGTATCGTTCTGTTGCCCAGGCTGGAGGGCAATGGCATAATCTTGGCTCACTGCAGCCTCCATCTCCCAGGTTCAAGTGATTCTTCTGCCTCAGCCCCCCAAATAGCTGGGATTACAGGCACGTGCCACCACACCTGCGTAATCTATTTTTAGTAAAGTCAGGGTTTTGTCATGTTGGCCATGCTAGTCTTGAACTCCTGACCTCAGGTGTTCCACCCGCCTTGGCCTCCCAAAGTGCTGGGATTACAGGTGTGAGCCACCGTGCCCAGCCTCATCTTTTATTTCTTTAAATATCTCATACTTTATTCATTTATATTGTGTATTTTATTATCATGATATCTTAGATCCCTGAGGTCTAAATCTTATTGTTTCTGTTGATAGTCACCCTTGGTAGTTTCTTTCTTTGTGTATTTGGTACAGGATCTACTTGTTTTGAAGAAGGAATGTCCTTTAGCATTTCTTGTTTGCCTTGTTGCATGAAGAAATAGAATCAGGAGCTTCTCAACTCATGTGTCATGAATGGGTCATTGGCATGCTGAGATACTTACCCTTTCAACTAGCTAGTCATCACTAGTTATGACCTGCTTTGTCTATTATCTTAATGGGCTAGGCACAAGGAAATAATCAAGTGGGATATTTGGATCAGAGGGCTGGAAATTACTTGAAATCATTAATGAATAATTTTGGTTCTTAAAGGAAGTAAGGTAGCTTAAGGCATCTGATGATTAATTGACACTGCAAATTATTTTCTTTTTTTTGACACTGCAAATTATTTTCAACTAAAATATAATCCCAGGTTGTTACCTGTAGCATCCTGAATCAAGTAATCATATTAAATTTAATGTTATTATTACTATTATTATGAACCCAAATAACTGTATACAAAAAAACAGAGCCTGATAAATATTAAATTCTAAACTACTTATAAAATCCAATACTTTATTCTGATCTTTAGTCATCAACTAACAGAAGACAATAGAAGCTGTGTGTTGTAGTGAAAAGTATCAGATTTGGTATCATAAGATGTGAGCTCTAATCCTGACTAAATTGCTCTCTATCCATATGACTTCAGGTAAAACTTCTTTTCAGTATGTTTTCCAATTGTGGGGGACAAATGAACAGCAATGCAACTGACTTTTGTGGATGGTTTATTGGGTGGGACAAGCACTAAGCATAGAGTGTGGAAGGTTCTGTTCCCCATTTTGCACTTGAGTATGTGGAGTATGTGCTTAAGACAAAAACACTTTTTGAGGTAAACCGCAATCTAAATACTTTGTTTCAGCTTGTTTTCAAAGTAACCTTTTACATTTATTTTTTAGGAAGGATGTTGTACTTCATTATTCAACTTTATTTGAACATGGAAAAATATTTTTGAAAACATGGGATATGGAAAAATATTAAAAACTTAATTTTTAATATATTTTTTTATCATGTTAAGAAAACCCAGATTTCTAGAATCTAATTTATAGTCATAACTAATATGAAATATTGACCATCTGTAAATATGTCAACTTTCCCCAAATTAATCTCTAGAATCAATGTAACTGCTATTAAAATCATTAAAAGGAGGTACAATGACAATCTGGGTTTAAACGTTAAAAATCTAAGGCACAACTAGGAATAGAAAGAAACTCTCTCAACATAATAAAGGCTATTTATGAAAACTCTACAACTAACATCATGCTAAATGGTGAAAGATTAAAACCTTTTTCTTTAAGATCAGAAACAAGACAAGGATGCCCACTTTTGCCACTTCTATTTTACATGGTACTAGAAGTCCTAGCCAGAGCAATTAGGCAAGAAAAAGAAATCAAAGGTATTCAAACTGGAAAGGAAGAAGTACAAAGATCTGTTTACAAATGACATGACTTTGTATATAGAAAATCCTAAAGATTCCACAAAAACCTGTTAGAATGAATAAACAAATTCAGAAAAGCTGCAAGATGTAAAATCAACACAGAAAAATCAATTGCATTTCTATACACAAACAATGACTAATCCTAAAAGGAAATTAAGAAAACGATTAAGGCCAGGTACAGTGACTCACTTCTGTAATCCCAGCATTTCGGAAGGCCAAGGCAGGCAGATCACTTGAGGCCAGGAGTTTGAGATCAGCCTGGTCAACAAAGTGAAACACTGTCTCTACTGAAAATACAAAAAGTTAGCCAGGTGTGGTGGTACGTGCCTGTAATACCAGCTACTTGGGAGGCTGAGGCATGAGAATAGCTTGAACCTGGGAAGTGGATGTTGCAATGAACAGAGATCATGCCACTGCACTCCAGACTGGGCAACAGAGTGAGACTCTGTCTCAAAAAATAATAATAATAAAAATAAATTAAAAATTTTAAAAAATATCAAAGAATAAAATACTTAGGAATAAACTTAACCAAAGAGCAAAAGTCTTATACACTGAAAACCACAAAACATTGATGAAAAAAATTAAAGACACAAACAAATGGAAAGACATCTGTGCTTGTGGACTGAAAAGACTTGGGGTGTGTGTGTGTGTGTGTGTGTGTGTGTGTGTTTTACAGTTGGGGTCTTGTTTTGTTGCCCACCCTGGAGTGCAGTGGCATGATCCTAGCTCACTGTAGCCTCGAACTCCTGGGCTCAAGCAATCCTCTCAAGAAGCTAGGACTACAGATGTGCACTGCTGGGCCCAGCTAAATTTTTAAAAAGTTAATTTTGTTACGTAGTTGATGTTGGTGCTCCACCCAGAGCCCCTTGGATCCTTTCTTCACTTATTTTGGTTATTTTCCCTAGAGTCTGCTTTGCTCAAACACAGAGACCCTTAGAAGTACTTGGAACTTTATGGTCCCTCGGATGGCCCCGATCCCATGACCGATACATGTGAGAGTATGAAGACTCTAGCTCCCTCATCTGAGATAGAGACAATTCTGAGGCATAAATTTCATTCTAGAGCTCCCTTGTATGATCCAGCTAAAGCTATGCTTTGCTGGACTTTTGAGAGTTCAGCCTTGGTTGACTTCTTCATATTCCCTGTCCTGCTTCTCCCACTCCCTTGCTAGTTTCCTCTGGGAGCACTTCTTTAATAATCACTTGAACACAAATTATGGTCTCAAGATCTGCAACTGGGAACCTGACTTAACAACACCTAAGGATAAACAGAGAATTACTATGAATTTACCTTTTATAATTGATGTTGAGATTGGCAGTCACGACGACTCCTCCAGCCATCAATGCACACATACCAACAGTACTATCAATCATGGTTGCAATGGCACCTCCATGAACGAATCTGGTTACAACAGGAGTGGAGGAGAAATGTTTTCAGAAGTTCTGAAGATAGCAAGCCTCTTGAAAGAGAGAAATTATCCAAGCATCTTCACACAATTTATTTATGAAAGGTCCACTTAGCCCATGTTCAGTGTACTGAATGCCAAACACTATTTATGTCCCCAACTTTATTTTGTTCACAGCATAATAGTATAGTCTTAAGTATTTGTAATAAAACCAGAACTTAATAGTAACCAGATCACAAGCAAGCAAAAAGCTAAAATATAATTTAGAACATTTATATTATATTTTTATTATTAGTCAAGTGTGGTGTCATGTGCCTGTAGTCCCAGCTACTCAGGAGGCTGAGGTGGGACGATTGCGTGAGCCCAGGAGTTCGAGGCTGCAGTGAGCTATGATCATGCCACTGCACTTCAGCCTGGGCAACAGAGCAAGACCTTGTCTCACAAAACAAAACAAACTACACATACTCATTGTTTAGAAATTTAGGTAATGCAAATATGAAAAAAAGAAAAAAAAATTTAAGACCCATAATACTACCCACCTAGTCAGTGACAAGCCACTGTTAACACATTAATGATATGCTCTCAAACTATACTGTTGCCCTAGGCCCTATAATATAATGCTCTTTAATATATTAAATATTTAATCAATATTAATAATATAGATAAGATGTTCTTTAATAATGTATTATAAACATCTTTCCATGTCAATAAATATACATCTACATGACCATTTGAAAATCTTCATTGAAGTCCATGGACAGGACACATGGTGGCACTGTAAGATAACTTTTTTTTAGATCCACACTTTCAGGCTATCATTCTTACCCAGGTGGTCCTTCCAGGTAAGGGCCTCCTTGAAATAAGCAAACCATCCTTTTCTCGACGTCACTGTAGAACATCACGTATTCAAAGCCCAGGCCATCATCAAAGCTTCTGGTGAAGAGCTGGGTCTGTGACAATTGTTCTTCTTTCACAAGCTTTGGGTCTATAGAAAATGAGGTGGATGGCAAATGAGAACCAAGGGTGAGAGAAATGCCATGGCAGAGCCAAGCACTTGTACCCTGCTAGAATCACATGTCAATGGATGATTGACTCAAATGTCCACAGGGTGCAAAATTAAAAGGAATGGGAGGGTCTCAATGAAACAGAAGATAGGATCTTTGCCCTTGTGGAATTAACAGTCCAACTGGGGACAGAGTCAAACAGACATGAAATCAAATCAAAGTACCCACACATGGCAATCAGGAATACAGTATATAAATGCTAACAATATACTGAATAAAATGGTATGGTAAAGACAGAAACCCTTCTTGGAAGAACTGTGGTTTAAATGCAATTTACAGAAAATAAAAAACGTAACAGAAAGGAGGTTTCCCTGGCAGACATGAGTTTAGCTTGAATCAGCAACAGGGTCAGTTCAGCCCAATACTCATGTGATTGTGATTCTAAGCCCCCAAAACTGGCAGTTAGAACTATTAGGGTTCATGAAATCAGACTGTGGGTTGTAATCAGGTTTTTTTTTTTTTGGACGGAGTTTCGCTCTTATTGCCCAGGCTGTAGTGCAAAGGTATGATCTCAGCTCACTGCAAACTCCGCCTCCTGGGTTCAAGCGATTCTCCTGCCTTAGCTTTGCGAGTAGCTAGGATTACAGGCGCCCACCACCACACCCGGCTAATTTTGTATTTTTAGTAGAGACGGGGTTTCTCCATGTTGGTCTGGCTGGTCTTGAACTCCCGAACTCAGGGATCCGCCTGCTTCGGCCTCCCAAAGTGCTGGGATTATAGGCGTGAGCCACGGTGCCCGGCCATTTACCAGGCTTTAAAAAGAAACAGAACACTTAGATAACAGAACCATATACTCTGGGTAAATAATAGTGCACTTGTTTAGACAATTTTTTTTCACTACAAAATTGTGAGCAAGTTGGGGGAACTGGACTGAGTCAAAATATAGGTCACTTCAAAATAAAGATTGAAATCCATTGCTCTCAAGAAATGGTGCATTTATCCTTTTGTATCTGTTTTAAAATTTAATCCCCCTACTCACCATTCTTTCATATCTCATCATGATTTGCCACATGTAAAACTCTTTCTTTCTATTGAATTTATATTTACAAACGTGGAAAAGGATACAGATAAGAGCATCCAGGAAAAGTGGGGAGAGGGACAGGAAGGATGCCTTTTACTTAGGTCATGAGCATCCCAGGGTAGGCACCCTGTCTTTTAGACCTTGCATACCCAACAAATGGCACAGATGTGCACACACTATATACACTTAAGCAGCTGTTGAGTGAATTGATGGTTTAGAAGGCTGGACAAGGAAACTTAAAGTTGGGGATCAGTATTATGGTGCAGTGGAAAGAACCTTGGCCCGTGAGTTGGGAAAATTAAATTACTGGCCTACCTCTGGCCTAGAACTCACTCTTTTGCACCGTACTTTAACCATACAATGAGGAGATAAAATAAAATGAGCTCTAAGATCTCTTCCCGCCGGGTGCAGTGGCTCACGCTTGTAATCCCAGCACTTTGGGAGGCCGAGGTGGGGGATCACGAGGTCAGGAGATGGAGACCATCCTGGCTAACACGGTGAAACCCCATCTCTACTAAAAATACAAAAAATTAGCCAGGCAAGGTGGCAGGCGCCTGTAGTCCCAGCTACTTGGGAGGCTGAGGCAGGAGAATGGTGTGAACCCAGGAGGCGGAGCTTGCAGTGAGCGGAGATTGCGCCACTGCACTCCAGCCTGGGCCATAGAGCGAGACTCCGCCTCAAAAAAAAAAAAAAAAAAAAAAAGGATCTCTTCCAACTCTGACATTCCAGGACTTCAGGATAAGATAGGTGTTAAGCGCTTCTAATTTTTTTACTTAGGAGTTTGAAATTTCTAGTCTAGATTATCAGACCTTGAGCTTATTTCATAAAAATGAGAAAAATAATGTCTGGGTTGAGTTAAAATGTAGGTCATTTCAAAATAAAGACCAAAAACGACTGCTCTCAAGAGGATGCATTTGTCCTTTGTGATGGTGAAAGAAGTTCGTTGGAAATGTAGAATCTCAGGTTCTACCTCTGACCTTTTGAAGCAGAACGTGCATTTTAACAAGATTCCTAGGTGCTTCATGTTCATTTTTAAGTCTGAAAGGCAATAGTATTTTAAGAAATGGGATAATACTGAAAATGAGATTTGCATTTTGAATCATTCTAACAGTTGAGTGGAGGAAGGGCTTTGAGGAGGATAAGAATGGAGACAGGAAACTACAAAAATCACAATCACCAAACTTATCTGCTAGATGGTGTGATTTTCTCTAGCAATGCTTAACTACATGAAAGCCTGTTCAAAGTAAAGATGGCAGATGGCAGATGGTTGGATTCATCCAGGGCTGGGGTTTTTCTAGGTTAAGTGGGCTACAGAAGTTCAGATAGATGAGGGCTATGGGACCATGAGAAAGTAAAGGATTCAATGAACTCAGAAGGTCTTAATGAAATAATAATTGTTTCTGAGGGGCCTTTGAATAAGTAAGCTGCTGAAAGGAAAAATGCTGTCATCAGAAAACAGGATGTTTAAATGTATGCATTTGGAGGCTGTGTACTGTCTGAAGATAAGGCTCAAGATGTTCATGGGAGTGTGTGCCTGGGGCTGGGGGATAAGAAAAGTTCATGGGTGATGAGGAAGCACATAAACTGAGGAGCCACTGTGTGGATGCTCGAGTTGCTGAGAATGCTGAATGGAGTTGGGTAGATAGTGGACCAACTACTGAAATACTCAAACACTGAGGGAGAGGTTGGCAGATGACAGCAACAAGGAGGGGAAAAGGAGGAGGGTGACAAATTTAGATGGTATAAACTCAAAGAAACGATTTTTTTTTTTTTTTTTTTTTTTTTTGACAGAATCTTGCTCTGTCACCCAGGCTGGTCTCAAACTCCTGGCCTCAAGTGATCCGCCACTTTGGCCTCCCAAAGTGTTGAGCCACTGTGCCCAGCCCAGAGGGCTTTTTAAGATGAGGGGAAGTAATGGTTTGAAAACAAGTGTGGGTAGCAAAGAGGACCTCAAACTCCTCTTGATTCTGAGAGGGTCAAATTTTAGTCAAGAGCGAATGAGGGTTGGATGAAGAAATGAGCAAAACCATGTAGGAATGGAACCCTGGAAAACATTGACATTTAAGGAGCAAGTAGAAGGAGGAGGGAAGATTGGTCTGAAAGGTTTATGAAAGCCAAGAGAAAAATGTTTCAATGAGAATAAGACAGGGAGGTCTAGTACAGTAAGTGCTGAAGAATGCACACTGAATTTGGCACTTCAGTCACTAGTAGCTTCAACGAAGGCATTTCAGTAGAGCTGTTAGGGTAGAAGCCAGATTGTGCTGGAGTAAGGACAGTCAGTTGTGTGATATGCTAACAGTTGGAAGAGAACTAGTAATACAAACTACACATTTTTCCTCTTCATTTATAAAACAGAATAATTATTCCCTTGAGATATATCAGAGATTCTGCAAAGAATCTTAAGAGCTCTATAATTTTTCTTGATTAGTTTTATTTTTGTTTTATTAATTCCTTCGCAAATACTAAAGTATCTACCATGAGGAAACTGAGGCAAAGAAAGGTAAAGTGCCTTGCTCAAAGTTGCACAGCTTTAAATTGTGGAACTAGAATTTAAACCCAGGCACTAAATTTCAATCATTTAATTAAGAAGTTGTCAACTTTTGGATGGTCTCTAAAGCTGAGAGACTGCATGAGATTACCAACGGAGTCTGGAGAAGACAGGAGTACTAAGGACTGACACTTGAGGGCACCCTAACATGAAGCGTTTGAGAATGGGGAGGAACCAGCACAAAAAATTGAAAAGGAGGGACCAGTGAAGTGGAGAATGTGGTGTCCTGGAAATTACGTTCAAGTAGAAAGGAGTCACCAGCTGTGCCAAAAGCTGAGAGGTTAGTGGACTCAGCAACATGAAGGTCACCGGTACCCTTGGCAAGAGCTGTTTTGAGGGAGTGGGTTCAAGATAGGCTGGGCACAGTGGCTGATGCCTGTAGTCCCAGCACTTTGGGAGGCCAAGGTGGGGCAGATCACTTGAGGTCAGGTGTTCGAGACCAGCCAGGCCAACATCGTGAAACCCTGTCTGTACTAAAAATACAAAAATAAGCTGGGTGTGGTGGCGTGCACCTGTAATCCCAGCTACTTGAGACGCTGAAGTGGGAGAATCACTTGAACCCAGGAGGCGGAGGTTGCAGTGAGCCGAGATCATGCCACTGCACTCTAGCCTGAGTGACAGAGCGAGACTCATTCTCGAAACCAAAAAAACAAAACAAAACAAAACAAACAAAAACAAAACAGAGAGAGAGACTGGGAAGAGAGAAATGCAGTTGTGGCATATTTATATGTTGACAAGAAACATCTAGCAGAGATGGATGTCCTTCAGTAGGCCAAAGAAAATGGAATGTAGCACACAAATGGAAGGCTGGGTCTCCCTGAGAGTGTGGATGGTTCACTTATAGCAGGAAGAAGCAGAACATCAGGCACAGATGCAGGGAGGAGGATATGTGAGGCAATGGGAGACTGGAAGTTCTCTTCTGACTGCTTTTATTGCCTCTTAGTGAGATAGGAAGCGAGACCAACTGAGGGTGAGAAGGGAAAAGAAAGTATTAGAGGCATAAGAAGAAAGAAAAAGGCAGAAAATAGTCATCCAGTAAGGGAGGAGAGTGAATAAACTAGGGAAACATGAAGGATGGTTGTTGGGCAATATTAAGAGCCTTCTTTTTCTTTTCTTTTTTGTAGGGGGGAGACAGGCTGTTGCCCAGGCTGGAGTGCAGTGGTGCGATCTCAGCTCACTGCAACCTCTGCCTCCCGGATTCAAGTAATTCTCCTGCCTCAGCCTCCCACATAGCTGGGATTACAGGTCCCTGTCACCACGCCCAACTAATTTTTTTTGTATTTTTAGTAGAGACGGGGTTTCACTATGTTGGCCAGGCTGGTCTTGAACTCCTGACCACAAGTGATCCGCCCGCCTCAGTCTCCCAAAGTGCTGGGATTATAGGCATGAGCCACAGTGCCTAGCCCAAGGGCCTTCTTAAAAGTCAGTTAAAAAAAAAAAAAACACCACCACCTAAAGATGTGTTTGGATGATTAAAAGATAATGAGTAACTCAGAAATATCTGTGAATAATTCAATATACTATAATGACAGACATCTCTCATTACACAGTTGGTAAAACCCACGGAAAACATAACACAAAGAGTGAACCCTAAAACAAACTATGCACCTTAATTAAGAGTAATATATCAATATTGGCTCATCAATTGTAACAAATACACCACAGTAATAATTTGAGATGTTAATAACAGGAGAAATTAGGGGTGGGGAGGGGATGAAGGGTATATGGAAACTCTCTGCACTTTGGGCTAATTTTTCTATAAAATTATAATGCTAAAAAAGTATATTAGTAAAAAAACACAGAAGGATAGGAAGTGCAATGTGTGTGTTTTGGGTGTAGGGTGGGTTGCCCTGGGGATTTAGATACTGGGAGATGTGGGTGTAACCTGAGTGTTCTGAGCTTCTTAGGGTGATATAAACAAACATGGGATAAAGGGTGAAATGAGATTAGATGATAGCCTCAAGACATAGAGGTGATGAGGTTGTAGGAGGGTGGAAGCTCTCTGGGGCCCTTTCTTCACTCTTGCTAATGGTGATAAGAATGCCAGGGTGGGAGCAGTCTTATTCTTGACAATAGGCTTTATGCACTCCAATCTGCAAAATTTATTGTGATTTCTGGTCTATAAAACTGGTGACTATAGAATATAATCCTGCATTATACTCTTTCTTTTTTCAGGTAGTAACTAGTACTTCAATCTGTTCTTAGTTTTATATTTGATGCTCAGATATATTAATGAGAAAGTGGCTGTTTCTACCAAGCAAATGGGTTTTGAAGTCTTGAATCTTTTCAGCAGGTATACGTTTATATGAAGGCAAACGTTTCCAGGAGCCGTCTTCACATTTCTCCATAAACTGGTCAAAGAGCAGTCTTAGGTCCTTGTTCCAGCTGGGGTTGGGGACAGAATAATCCTTAAGAATGACTTCCTCAGAAGAAAATGACCTCTAAAAGACAGAAGAAAAAGAGTGAGTAATGGGAGGTGCACTGTATTTCATAACATATTCTCCCAATTTCTAAGACTATTTTGCTGCTTTCTTCTCCCCATAAGCTTGTCACTTCAAAATGGAAGGGAATTTCAGGGATCACCTGGTCCAACCTCCTTGGGAAAATGAGAGATTGAGAGAGGGAAAATGATTTGCTCAACATCACTCAGCGAGCTATTGACAGGGCCAGCATTATGCTCAGGTCTGCTGATTCCATTCTTTTTTTCAAACTTTAATCAAGCACAGGTGAGCCCAAGACACTGGAGATGGAGGTAAAGAACAGACATTATCTTAAATGTTAAAAGCTCTTCCAGTGGCTATGCACAGGAAGTCAGGGGATAAGGTAAGGGAGAAGTATTCATCTAGGATTAGGGGTTCAGGAAGGGGTCCTTTGACTTGAATATTGATTAGATAAGCAGAAATTAGCCAGCTGGAAAAAGTATTACAGGCAAAAAACCAAACCAAACCAAAACAAAAAGAACACTGGAATATAGTTTGGATGTGTGTTCCCGCTCAAATCTCATATTGAAATGTAATCCCCAATGTTGGAGGTACGGCCTGGTGAGAGGTGAATGGATCATGGGGGTGAATTTCTCATGAACGGTTTAGCACCACCCCTTGGTACTGTCCTCATGATAGTGAGTTCTCATGAGATCTGGTTGTTTAAAAGTGTATAGTACCTCGTGCCTTGCACTCTTGCTCTTGCTGTGTCCATGTGAAATGCCTGCTCCCACTGTGCCTTCTGCCATGACTGTAAGTTTTCTTGCTTCCTTTTCTTTTTTTTTTTTTGAGACAAAGTCCCACTCTGTTGTCCAGGTTGGAGTGTAGTGGCGCGATCTTGGCTCACTGCAACCTCCACCTCCTGGGTTCAAGTGACTCTCCTGCCTCAGCCTCCCAAGTAGCTAGAGTTACAGCCTCACCACGCCCGACTATTTTTTGTATTTTTAGTAGGGATGAGGTTTCACCATGTTGGTTAGGCTGGTTTCGAACTTCTGACCTCAGGTGATCTGCCCACCTCGGCCTCCCAAAGTGCTGGGATTACAGGAGTGAGCCACTGTGCCTGGCTGACTGTAAGTTTTCTAAGGCCTCCCCAGCAGCCAAGCAGATGCCACCATCATGCTTCCTGTATAGCCTATAGAAATGTGAGTCAATTAAACTTTTCTTTATAAATTACCCAGTCTCAGGTATTTCTTTATAGCAACGTGAGAACAGCCTAATGCAGTTTGCAAAAGAGGCATGAAACAGTTTTGAGGGGCCTTATTACAATCATATGAAGGAGGTACTATTTATTATCCTCATTTTACAGATGATAAAATTAAGGCCTAAAAGAAGTTTGGCATTATTAGGGTACAAGAGTGGAGCAGATGGCTGCAGAAATGCATGTAAAACCTTAATACTAAGCTAACTGGCTTGAATTTTATCTGCAGTGCTCTCTGAGGGATTTTAAATGGGAGTAACATGATTAGATCTTTCCATAACATAAAAGATAGTGGGAGTGTCCAAGATTGAAATCAGAGGGCCCTATCTGGAAGCTACTAGGGTAATTCAGGTGAGAAATCATGAGCGCAGGAAGCAGAACTTGGTGGGTGACTATTTGGATAAGGAGGGTAAGGGAAAAAGAGAAGTACAAGACCCAGTCCCAGGATTCTGAATCCTGCAATGAGGTGAATGACAGAGCCAATTACCAAAAAATATAGGAGAAAGTGGAGTAGGCAGCTCAGGGGAAAGTTCTTGGTGTCACAGTAACCACAGCTTCCATCCATCTATTTCTGTAGCACCAAGCACTGCTATTACTCCAATGCCCAGGCAACAACTAGAACATTACAGGGATCCTAGAGGACCTGGAAGACAAGGTGTGACTTACTAAGGAGCAGAACAAAGTGTATGCCCACAGACACCAGAAAGGAAAACTGGCTTTCTGGACTGCTGCAGATATCTTGGAACATGTAGGATCACAGAAGCTATTAACTCCATGGCATTCTACTTTCAGCCACTCTTATCAATTCATTCAGATTTAATGTACCTACAATACACAGACTGCACCATAAAACCAAAACAGGGAGGTCACAGTATGATGGGAGAACCAGCTTTCTGCTGACAGGGGCTGGCTCCAATGCTGGCTTGGTGGGAAGAATACAGGGAACCTGTCTCAAAAACTCTATGGAAGAGGAGACGCCTAGCCTCCCAACCTACATCTTTCTCCCATGCTGGATGCTTTCTGCCCTCGAACGTCGGACTCCAAGTTCTTCAGTTTTGGGACTCTGACTGGCTCTCCTTGCTCCTCAGCTTGCAGACAGCCTATTGTGGGACCTTGTGATCGTTCTTAATTATTGTAGGAACATAATACATGTCGGATTGGGCAGAGTGATTCCTCCAACTATTTTCAAAACTGTATTAGCTGAGCATGTGGAGGCATGCATTGTGAATTTTAGCTCAAGATTGACTGCAAAAACCAGCAATCCGGAGAGGACCCACAGACCCTCTGAAGGAAGCGGACTGCTCCTGCAGGACCGGGAGACATCCCAAACACTATGAGTGCCCCAACTGTGGACGTGGGAAAGAAAGACCCTTCTCTCCCGAACACACACCCCCACTGGGGAAGCTGGTCTGTCTGCAGGAGAAATTTCTGACTTTACCAGGAGCTGAGTCAAGTTAGAGAGCTAAGCCGAGCGAAATACAGGGGTAGAGGAAGCAGCAGAAAGGCCCTGGGAGCTCACTGGGTCCCCAAGCAGCCCATACCTGCTTGGCACCACAGGGATCCATCAGGAGGGTGCCCAAAGGAGCAGGGGGTAAAATTCCACAGGGAGAAGGAATTCTCTAGCTGAACTTTGTAACAGTTTCAACTGGGGAGAAGCCTCCTGGCCAGAACTCGGGGAGGGCATGAACCCAGCTTGCAGACTTCAGAGGTCGGGGAAGAACTAAAGCCCTTCCTTCTTTTGCAGCTGGGAGGTGGAAAGCCTCAGACAAGTTTTCAAGCCCATCTTGCCCTCCACCTGGAAACAGACTCGGGGCTATTGGAAGGCCACGGTGGGAGTGAGACCGGTCCTTCAGTTTGCATGGGAGCTGGGTGAGGCCTGTGACTGCCGGTTTTCCCCAACTTCCCTGACAACCTGTATGACTCAGCAGAGGCAGCCATAATTCTTCTAGGTATACAACTCCAGTGACCTGGGAATCTCACCCCCATCCCCCACAGCAGCCACAGCAAGATCCCCCCAAGGAGAATCTGAGCTCAGATGTGCCTAGCCCCAGCCCTACGTGATGGTCCTTCCCTATCTACCCTGGTAGCAGAAGACAAAGGGCATATAATCTTGGGAGTTCGAGGGCCCCGCCCACCACCGGTCCCTCTCCACACTACTACAGCTGATGCTTTCTGGAAAGTGCAACCTTTTGGCAGGAGGCCAACCAGCACAAAAGTAAAGCATTAAACCAAAGCTAAGAACCCTCACAGAGTCCACTGCACCCTCTGCCACCTCCACCAGAACAGGCCCTGGTATTCATGGCTGGGAGACCCACAGACAGCTCACATCACAGGACTCTGTGCAGACAACTCCTAGTACCAACCCAGAGCTGGGCAGACTCGCTGGGTGGCTAGACCCAGAAGAGAGACAACAATCATGGCAGTTTGGCTCACAGGAAGTCACATCCACAGGAAAAGCAGGAGAGTACTACATCAACGGAACACCTTGTGGGACACAAAAATCTGAACAACAGCCTTCAGCCCTAGACCTTCCCTTTGACAGAGCCTACCTACCCAAATGAGAAGGAACCAGAAAACCCACCCTGGTAATATGACAAAACAAGGCCTGTCAACACCCCCCAAAAATCACACTAGTTCACCAGCAATGGATACAAACCAAGAAGAAATCCCTGATTTCCCTGAAAAGGAATTCAGGAGGTTAGCTGTTAAGGCAATCAGGGAGATACCAGAGAAAGGCAAAGCCCAATGCAAGGAAATCCAAAAAATGATACAAGAAGTGAAGAGAGGGCCAGGTGTGGTGGCTTATGCCTGTAATCTCAGCACTTTGGGAGGCCAAGGTGGGCAGATCACAAGATCAAGAGATCGAGACCATCCTGGCCAACATGGTGAAACCCCCTCTCTACTAAAAATACAAAAATTAGCTGGGTGTGGTGGCGCACGCCTATAGTCCCAGCTACTCAGGAGGCTGAGGCAGGAGAATTCCTTGAACCTGGGAGACGGAGGTTGCAGTGAGCCGAGATTGTGCCCCTGTACTCCAGCCTGGGTGACAGAGTGAGACTTGGTCAAAAAAAAAAAATAATAATAATAATAAAAAGAAGTGAAGGAAGAAATATTCAAGGAAATAGACAGCTTAAAGAAAAAACAATATAAAATTCAGGAAATTCTGGACACACTTTTAGAAATGCAAATTAACCTAATCCAACAAAGAGAAAGAAAAAATAGCAAGAAAACATGAACAAAGCCTCCGAGAAGTCTGGGATTTTGTTAAACTACCAAACCTAAGAACAATCAGTGTTCCTGAGGAAGAGGACAATTCTAAAAGCTTGGAAAACATATTTGGGGAATAATCAAGGAAAACTTCCCTGGTCTTGCTAGAGATCTAGACATGCAAATACAAGAAGCACAAAGAGCACCTGGGAAATTCATCACAAAAAGACCTGCACCCAGGCACACTGTCATCAGGTTATCCAAAGTTAAGACAAAGGAAAGAATCCTAAGAGCTGTGAGACAGAAGCACCAGGTAACCTATAAAGGAAAATCTAGCAGTTTAACAGCAGATTTATCAGCAGAAACCCTGCAAAAGGAATTGGGGCCCTATCTTCAGCCTCCTCAAACAAAACAATTATCAGCCAAGAATTCTGTATCCAGTGAAACTAAGTATCATATACGAAGGAAAGATACAGTCCTTTTCACACAAACAAATGCTGAGAGAATTTGTCATTTTCAAGCCACCATTACAAGAACTGCTAAAAGGAGCTCTAAA